GCAACCCTCTTCAACTATACGCAAGCGTACGTGTCAAGCAATATAAGGTATTGTAGCCCCAGATTTATCGTCCTCAGGGAGCAGTTGTGAAGTAAGAAGCGCTAAAGGAAACTTAATTTGTAAAATGGAGCAATAAAAGAAAGTACTATTCTCAGCTAAGCTTCACAAAGAGCAATCTCTGGGCAGCTAGTTAAACAATGTTAACCATTCTGAACCAGATGAGAGCAGTGAATGACTTAGCACGATCATCGAATAAAAAGACATCAATTTAAGTAACTTCAAGAGTAGTCAACGAAATGAAAGTAGGAGTATAATAACCCTAATTATATGACTTTTAAATTAGAGGGTTATAATGAGGACCTTATAGTCATAAATGGAATGAGCATAAAATTATAAGAATTTTGATACCCATATTGAGGTATTATGCACAGATGAATTTTTATCTGTTAAATTTGACTGCTGACGTAATAACAGTTAGTAGAATAGCTCCAAGTTAGCAAATTATAGTTAGAGAGTAATCTAATGATATAAACATCATGAATGAGGTTAGGATATGATTTGGTGAAGATTGATACCCATATTGGGGTATTTTTGAAAAGTCACTTCTGTCGGGTATTTTGTACTGCTGTAGCAGCATCCGGTAGAATTCCGGAACAGGAAAAAGATAAGAAAATAGAAATAAAGACCAATATATGCCTAACAAGTCATAATTAGACCAAAAATGTTAAAGTTAAGAAGATTATGAAATCCGGGTACAGTTAAGAACACCGGTAAAGACTACAGTGCAATTAAACAACTGTTAGTGGATCTGTGATCTACTAATCAAAATTTTAAGTTATGAACATGATAATTAGACAAAATTAATGTTAAGTACTTAAAGTTAGAGTCTTGATAGTTTTCGGGTAAAAATTTGACGACAGATCAGTTAAAAATTACACCGGGTCTCACTAAAGGACGAATATCACTTAAGTGACATGGCACCCCTCATTAGGGCACCCTCCTCTCCTTCCCTTCCATTTCTGATCAGCAGCCCCTTCACCTCCTTCTCTCTCTAAGTTTCAAAATTTGAAAACTCTCTCACTTCTCTCTAAGATTTCTTCACCTAAATCTCTCTAAACCACCAAACTTCCTTCACAAAGATTATTCCCCTCACTCTCCTCTTCACAACCATACCATTTTCATGGTGCCAAACAGCCATGGTTTTGTGGAGAGCAAAGGCTATGGAGTTGTGTTCTTGAGCTCTCTTGAAGAATCACACTTGCTTGCTTGTTTCCTTTGATTTTTGGGTAAGTGTTCTTAAATTTTTTTCATGAAAAATATCATCTTTTCTTCTTATGTTCTTGAGCCTAACTCATGAGCATGTTCATGAAGGTGTGTGCTTTCCTAAAGGTGTGTTCTTGGTGGAAAAAGGTGGAGACTTGAGCTAAAGGAGAAACCTTGAAGATGTAAGCTCCCACTTGGGAAATATGAACCAAAAAGCCTCCCTTTTTCTTGTTGAGTGCCTTGGTTTTGATATGTTCATGAGGAGAATTTTGTTTAAAATTTTGTAATGTCATGGTTTGATGATGATTCTTAGGTGTGTGTGTGTGTTTAGAACCATGGAATGATGGATTGGATGACTAAAGGTGCCACCTTTGGACCTTTAAGTGATGTTCATGTAAAAAGATGACCATGAACTCAAAAATGGACCATGAACATTTCAGCCATATCATGTAAGGATAGGGTTTGATGACAAAAAAATGTGATTAAGTTGTTAAGTGTGGAAAAATGATTAGAAAGATTAACTAGGTGGGTTAACTCTAAGTAAAACTCACTAATCATGATTAATAATGGCTAAAAATCCTAATTAATATAGCTAATCAAATCTGCCCCATAAATTACATAAGGGTTTAGTTGTGTTAAAATTAAGGAGATGATGAATTAGGTGATTGATTAAGGGTAGAGATTAATTAACAAAAGTAATCAAGGATTTAACTCTAAAATTGGACTAAAGTAAGGTTTAGGTACACTAATTAAATAATTAGTAAAATTTAAGTATCATGACATAATGAGACTAAGGATATTTCATAATGTGACTTAATAATAGAAAAATCCAAGAATTAATGTGAATTAGGATTTATAATCAAAAGTAATTAAGGTTTGTTAAGTAAACACATTTAAGGCTAAGTAACCAGTTTTTAGGAAATATTGGGGAGAGCATATCTTCCTCCACAGAGGTCATATAGGGATGTGCCTTATATCAAATTTAACATTGAGATGTTATCTACGTGGTGTCAAAATTTGGTATCAATTGAAGATATATTCCATTCTGTATGTTCGTTTGAGTGAGGACTGCACAGGGAGGCATGTGCAAGGGCGCTGTACATGGCTGACACTTCCATGAATTTTTTTCTCCCTCAATTATTACTCAAATTAGGTTCATAATATGTCTAATTAAAGATAAAGGTGTCTAGTTGTCTACATAAGAATTTTAGAGCAATTTATTTAGTAGAATTTCCATAATCGCAGAAATGGTAAAGGATGTTTAGGGCCCTGTTCGGAGTTGGCAAACAGCTTTGTTTGTCCAACTTCAAATGGTGTAACCGGAGCTAGGAAACTTCAAATGAGGCATATGATACCTTTTTGGAAAGGTAATTGAGTCTAGATTAACATACTAAAATATGAGAATTTATAACAAGTGAGTCACGCTCAGTAACTAGAAAACAGAAGCATGTACAGTTATGGAAAAACCGTAAAAGTGATATTTAAGCTAAGTGGGCTTAGGGGAACCCTTAGTAACTTATAATAATCATAAATATGACTTGGATGAGTTGAAAATAATCTAAGTGAGCCTTGCATGTGATTCTAAGCTATGTAAGTAATTGAAGATTAAAGTGGCTTGTAATAATGCACTAAAATATGTAATAAGTAATAATTGGTCTAGGCTTGTAATGGGCATATTATTGGCATATGAGTATGAAAAGTGGGATCATTAAATGATTAAGTCGTGGATATGACTTGATTAATTAATATGTAATTAATGATGTGAATGGTTCCTACTCTAGGTGTGCCTAGAGAACCGTGCACTTGAGGATTTTGTTGGAGCATACGTATTATATTGGAGTGTGGGCTTGTGCTAAGCTCCCTAAGGTAAGCTCCTAGTTCTAGTTGACTCCTCTCTCTTGTGGCCCCACCATGATGGCGGGCATTATGTTTATATTGTATGAAAGTATATGGTATGATGTATATGTGCATTCATTCACATTCATACAGATGTTATATGATCTTGATGTTATGATGATGCACTGATGATATATGTTATGAGGATCCTGGCCAGTGATCATGGTATGTAGGCTGCCTATGACTTGACTCTGGGAGCTATTTCATACTGAGGTTGTGTTGACTGTCTATGGCTTGACCCTGGAAGTCACACATGTGTAACCGTCTATGGCTTTGACCCTGGGGTTACACAAGGATGATATGATGATGCTATGTTTATGTTGTATGTATGTATTATATGCTTTATATCTGACTTGTTATGCAGGAAGTGGGCTCAGGGGTTAGAGGATCCTCTATGGACCTTGAGCTTACTGAGATGTTGTTATCTTATCCCGTTTGGGGACATCATTTCAGGTACCCAGAGTAGTGGTGATGCTTCTAGGGGCAAGGCCCCGCATTGGAGTAGTTGATGATGCAGCTGATGGTTTTATATTATGTTTAGATTTGATGTTGGCATGTAGACTTGTTAACATGCTTAATTATTTTATGGAGATTATTGTATGTATTTATTTAGGCTCATGATAGTATTCTTAGAGCCATGGATTATTTACTGATACTTTTATACTTCGAATTAATATAGACTTGATGCATGTATTCAGTTAATTTGGGCATGGAGCCTTATTAGTTGTATTGACCCATTAAGGGGATTGCAGTCCGTGTGGGACTTGCAAGCTATCTGTTTAAATTGTTGTATTAATTAGGTTATCTGTATGTGTGGAATCTTGTTTCTAGTTATCCGAAATACAGCCGTTATGCTGTTCGTGAGACTCCGTCAGGAATGGCACTTGATGTCATATCTTGATGGTCAATGGCCACTAATACTGGCTCATGGGATTAATTAGTAGATGTATATTCAGATTTACGCTTTCGCAGTATCTGACGTGAACGTTTTTAGAAATGTTTTTATGAAATGTTTTGGAAAAAGTTTACTCGTATTTTTATAAGATGCTTTATTCCTTTTCAAATAAAGTCTTCCGCTGTGAATGTTAAATATCATGTATGTTAACAACCGGAGTACTACGGGGTGTTACATTTATGGTATCAGAGCAATTTCACTGGGACGTTCACTGATGTATTGCTTAAGTGTTAGAACTGTTTATTGAGTGTCATGATATTGCATATGCTATCACTTGATTGAGCGTAGCTAACTCATACCTCGTGCAGTTTTGTGTAGTGACATGGCACCTCGAGGGAGACCCAGGTGAATAGTTCAAATCCCTCATCCTGATCCTATTGTTGCAGCTATAGCAACATTGCAGCAGACCCTGAATGAAACCAGGGAAGCTGATTTGAAAAGAATCGAAGAGGCCAGAGATCGCGATAGAGAGCAGCTAAGAAAGGCCAGTGAAGACCTTATGGCGCAGAATAGGCTGGCCAATGCTGAGATGATCCGACTACTGTTGACAGAGGTACGAGGAGGACCTCCACCACCTTCACCACCTCCTCCACCGCCAGTTACACCACATGTGCAGCAGCAGGTTGCACGTGCTGCTGGTCCCGTACAGATTCTTGAGCCTGTTGTGCTGGGACATGAAGGGTCAGGAGAGGCTCATCAGGAGACGGAGGCATCTGTCCATGAAGGACTAGTGAGGCAGCCAATTATTGAGGTTGATAGATCAGCTATACCACCCAGGTTTGACCGGGATACTAGAGAGCGTATGCTGAATGCTTTCAGGAAGCATTCCCCACCTCACTACAAAGGTGGAAGAGATCCCATTGCAGCATTGGAGTGGCTCCAATAGATGGAGCGTATTTTTCAGGTTATGGAATGCGATGCCAACATGAAGCTCCTATATGCGGTGTACATGTTACAGGGGGATGCTGCTGACTGGTGGAGTAATGTTAGAAACCCACTTGAGTGCCAAGGTTATGTTATTACTTGGCCATTATTTGAGAGGCATTTTCTGCAAAAGTACTTTCCTGAAGAAGCCAGGGAAAGGAAGAAGAGTGAGTTTGAAGACCTCCGGCAGGGAGGCATGACTGTGGATGAATATCTCAGCAAGTTCAACCGCTTGGAAAAATATTCTTGTTATGGTAGAACTCCCCTCACTCCAGAAGACAAGGCCTTTCGATTCAGGAAGGGTCTGAATGATATGATAGCAGAAAAACTGGCGGGTCGTTGCACCAGAAATTTTGTGGAGTTGATCAAGCAGTTCCAGAATATTCAGGAGCACTATCGTACCAGGGGAAAGGAAGCAG